TGTAAATTTGAAGGAAATATTTAGTATTTTTTACTCTAAAACAAAACTTTTTTATGTAAAATAAATTAATTATTCCTACAACTGGAATACCCATTTAGTTATGTATACAAATATACATTATGTATATCAATATTGTCAATACATTTTTGTCCTACAATCGTTACAGTTTTGTGTAATTTTAATTTAAATATGTTTATTAATGATAATAAAATATAAAATGACATTACATTATTGTGTCAAATATGACAGGAGCCCACAGACGGTCAATATGTTTGCGAAATAATATTGCCCAATAATATTGTTAGTTACCTCCAAACAGTACAATGAATTTGTTCAATAATTAGTTTTGTTTTGCACTTTGGTTAACATGGATAAGAAAAAACAAACTGCTATTGCCATTGTTTTGGTCACTTGTTCATTTTTTTATTTCTGTTGCTATATTCTTTGCTTTTTGTATTCCATAAAGCTGGCAAAGAATGGTACATTTCAATTTCGATGACTTCTAAAATAAATCGTTTTTCTTCCCCTTTTGCTTTTGATTCCATATTTGCTGACAAACCACTGATCTAAATATTCTAAATAGAGCCGAGCAGCAAGATAAACACGCAGAGAAAGCAAAAATACACTGAAGTATTGTGCAATATTATACACACACGATACAAACTAATCACTATTGCACATTAAAAATCAAACTGTTCTTGATTGACACAATATATTGTGCAAACCCTAAACGATCAATATTATTGCATAATATGAAATATTGCGCAATAATATTGACCGTTTAGGGTTTGAAAGGTTCTAAAAAGTCAATATTATTGCACAATATGAAATATTGAGCATTTGTGGGCCGCTTTTAGGCAATAGTGTATACCGGGTGCGTCTCAAAAGTGGCTCACCCCCTATACATTTTTTATTTTTTCAGATAAAAAAACGATATTTGGTATGTTGTTTATGACATAAATTAGGATTGATTAACGTATTCAATCGTTTTCGGTCGCTTCCTGTTTTACAGGAAATGGCTACAACTTTTGATTTTTAAATGGTACCCTCGGTCTTTTTTTAATTTATTCGATAGAAAATGACATGAATAGAATGACATCACATGTCAACTTTTGACATTTTCACATATGGTTTATTTGAAATTATAGCATGCGGTTCATAACGACAATTTGACTCGAAATATCAAGTGTGTGGTATCAAATTATTTGTAAAAAATGCTGTTTCCAAATATGCTAATGAGCCACCCTCGTTCCGTTTGGAAAAATTGTGATAAAAATACGATTTGGGCATATTTTAACCGCTAGAGAAGACACTAAAACCATTAGATAATCAAATCTATTTTTCCAAGGCTCCTTGATTAAAAACTAGTGTTTTTGGTTAGTGTTAACACAGGCATGGCACTCTAGATTCAAATTTAAAATACAACTTTTTTTAAGCGAGAATGTCAAAAGTTGACATATTATATGTCATTCTATTCAGAGTGTCATTTTCTATCGGATAAAGTAAAAAAATACCGAGAGTGCCATTTAAATATCAAAAGTTGTTGTCATTTGCGGTGAAACAGGAAATGACCGAAAACGATTGAATACGTCAATCAATCCCAATTTATGTCATCTACTAGCATACCAAATCTCATTCTTTTATCTAAAAAAAATAAACAAGTTATAGGTGTGAGCCACTTTTGAGACGTACCCGGTATTTAAGAAAGTAATATTATAATGTATTAAATATTCATCATAATATCACTTTCATACAACACATATGTCTGCAAATAAAAACACTATGAAATTTTCCACACCGGAAATGATACGTTTAAGAAATGGATCGTGTCAAAGCTCGAGGGAAATTAACTGATCGTTCCGACTACTTCGATAACTTTCAATCGGATAAAGCCATATTGCAACGAATAAAACCGATTTTATTTAATATTTGATATTTTATATACTCTTATCTAGTAAACATTGTTAACAAGTGTCTAATTTTAATTTAAGCGAGTATCAAGTTCATATGTGATATATTTCTTATAAATTTGCGCTTAATTTTGGCTATATTAGGAATATTGTCCTTGACAAAGCTTATAGAAAAAGTCTCATCTAAAAATTAATAATTCAGTTATAGAATTAATTACACATGTTATATATGTTTCAATATTTTTCTTATGCTTTTTTCAGTACTGACGATGTAACAAAATGTAAATAATTATTATAATTTAGTTCCCCTTGCTATAGTCTACTTTCATATGTTGTTGATAGTATTATGATATTGTAAATATTCATGTGTGTCTATTTTACTAGAGAATATTTAATTATGACATACAATATTTACTTTGTTAATACAAGAATTATAAAGCGTTACGGTTGTCTACCGTGTAAATATTTATGCTTCCTTCCATATCCATAATTAATTGTTCTAGATTTTGAAATGATCTCTTCTGTTTAATTATAAAGTTATATTAATATTTGAGTAAAATGGCTGTTACCAATTATATATTGGACGAAACATCACCTGTCATATAATTAATAAACATCTTTGAATCCTAATTGATTATGTCAATTAGTGTATTGATATTACCAGGCTAAATCCGTAAGATTAATTAATTAAGCATTATTTATAATAAATATAACAGTTTCAATATATAATAATCGTGTACAAATAAATAATTTAGACGTAAAAGTACGTTCATGCTTCTTCATGTCAATATAAGACGTAAAAGCTTCTTCATGTCAATATTTCAAATCTATACAAATTTATTATAAGCATAATATAATAATAATAATATAACTAATATAGTATAGACATCCAGAACATTTTTTTTTGTCTGATATTTTGCATTTCCTAGGCTAGAAATAGATATACAGGGTTGTTCACCACATACGACACGGAGTATTGTAGCTAAACGATGAGATTTTTACAAATTGTAAGTTTTGGGTTCGATGAAGGACCATTAGAGGTACAATTTAAAAATAATTTTACAGGATACAGAGTGTCCCAAATAAGTAAAAAATATCAAAGTTGTATTTTTTTAAATGGAACACCCTGTATATTATTTAATTTTTAGTTTCTACGATTAAAATAAAGGTAAATTTGATTAAGGTTTATTATACTTAAACCTTACTGTTTTTGAAATATTTTCAATTTTGTGAAATTGCAGTAAAAATTTTAAGGCTTCATTTCTCGAAGGGTATCAAAGTTTTTAATACTAAATATTTACTGAAGTTTATTTATTGATCAGTTATTTTGTTGCAATAATAAAAATAATACTACCTTATACAGAGTGCCTAAAAATTTATTTTAAATAATTATTAGCTTCAAACGGCAATAACTTGTTTAATTTAAACGGAACACCTTGTATATTTTACGAGAATCAGATGCACAATTTAATTGTCTATCAAATTATATTATACCATTTTTTACCTATCTCTTTAAGTTTCCATAGAAAATGCATTTTCTTGTAATTTAGAACTTATTTATCAATATACCCATGGAATATTGACATTTTAGATTATTTTTAAAGATGTACCAAATTTTTAAAGAGTACAGATACTAAAATTGTCGATATAATTTGTTTATTTTATTAAAAAATAAAAAAAAAATGTTTAAATATTTGTTAAAGGGGACCAATTAATATGATTCCAGTATTCAAACTACATTAACTGACTGTTTGCGTTGATTAATAATAATTGCTCCAAATACTAAAAAACTGAATTTTGTATGGGTATTAGACAGTGTGATAAAAAAGAAACACCTTAAAAATGATATTTAATTTTTAATAAATACTTATTTATAACAACAGACTTTAATTTTGATAACTTATTATTATATTGATTTCTGACTCAAATCCACATTTATTTAGAATAATTTATTAACGAACACAATTAAGTATGTAATTAATTAGTATATGGGCGGAAATAATGGTGTTATATTTAATTAATGGTATACTCTTTTATAAAGATTTAAATAGTTTTCTTTTTTCATACAAATGGGCTAGTAATATTATCGTTTTGCTAAAAACGATAATATTACTAGTCTGTACATTTTGTACATTTGTTGCTTTAAAAACAATCTAAAATGTCAATATTCCATGGGTATATTGATAAATAGGGTCTAAATTATAAGAAAATGCATTTCCTACGAAAACTTGAAGGGATAGGTAAAAAATGGTATAATACAATTTTCTAGACAATTAAATTGTGCATCTGATTCTCCTAAAATATACAGGGCGTTCCATTTAAATTAAAGAAGTTATTGGCGTTTAAAGCTAGAAATTATTTAAAGTAAATTTTTAGACACTCTGTATAAGGTAGTATTATTTTTATTATTGCAACACAATAACTGATCAATAAATAAACTTCATTAAATATTTAGTATTAAAAACTTTGATACCCTTGGAGAAATGAAGCCTTGAAATTTTTACTGCAATTTCCCATAATTGAAAATATTTCAAAAACGGTAAGGTTTAAGTATAATAAACCTTAATCAAATTTACCTTTATTTTAATCGTAGAAACTAAAAATGTAATAATATACAGGATGTTCAATTTAAAAAAATACAACTTTGATATTTTTTACTTATTTGGGACACTCTGTATCTTGTCAAATTATTTTTAAATTGTACCTCTAATAGTCCTTCATCGAACCCAAAACTTGAAATTTGTAAAAATATAATCGTTTAGCTACAATACTCCGTGTCGTATGTGGTGAACAACCCTGTATAAGTTTCAGAAAAATACAATTATTTCATTTTACACATTTGTCACTGATGTATTAAAAAAGGGTTTTGTCTATATAAAATATTATATCGGGTTGATTTGCATTTTTGTAAAAAATTGTTACAAATTAATGTGTCAACGCCAATAAAATATATATTTAATATTGAAGTTTGCGTATAGAATTTAAAGAAGAATTATAGTACATTCTGTAGAGAAATTAAAATTTTAAGCATAATTATCTTTTTTATGATCTACCGATTCTTCTAAAAAATTATAATTCTGTTATTCTTACCATACGTCCTTAAAATCTTGTTTTTGTGTATTTCCAAATATTTACTTCAGAAAACTGTTGTCTGGATGCTTCCTGTAACAAAAATAATGTGTTATTTTAATGTATTAAAGAAATATTTTCTTTATATAGAAAAGAAGAATAATGTCAAACCAAGTAAAAATAAAGTGTAAAACCACATGAAGCTCTGAACTTTAAGTTGCAATTACAAATTACAAGCACGTACAAAAATATCGCTTGATATAACGACTACCAGGATAAAAGGAAACACATACTTAAGCGCCTCTATTCAACCTTCCATCCGTTTGTAACCTATATGAGAAATTCTAGCGCGCTCTAGGCAAAAAGCATTGTTGCCATTGTTACTTTCTAAAAAAATATAAATTTGAATATGAAATATTCATTTTACCAAAAACTTTTATTCATTTTAAAATTATTGTATAAAAGCATGTACTTATTATCAGGTTAACCAGAAATCTAATTTAATCTAAAACAATTATTTTTCAGTAGTAATATTCATTATATAACAACATACTGAAATGAAGATTGCTGGTCATGTCATTATGTACCGGGTGGACATTTCTGGCTTTGGGTGCCGATTTTCGTATATACAAAGAGTACGGTCAACACGCTTACTAAAATAAGATGTGTTGAATAAAGAAAGAAGAGCAATTTTTACAAGTATATTCCCAAGCGCATGAAATCTAGCATCGGATTAAGTGATTACACAGGGTGTTTCAAAAAACATGTGCCATCGATTCGAATGAAATTTTGAGGGTAAAAGTTACTATAAATGCTACATATTTTAATGCCAAAAAAGTATCGATAAATTTATCACGGACGTGCATATGGGTTATCACTCGAATGTTTTTCAAAATAAAACATGTACGGCACTGACTTTTTTCTTTTGATACTAGAATTGTGTAGGCCGTATAATGCCAATTAAATGTTATATCTCAATATTTTGTCGAATTCGGCCTCTTTGATGAGATAAGCGCAATTTTATTGATAACAATTATTAATAAAATTAAAATAAAAATAGAATTAATAAATTATATATTTTAACTAATATATTATTAAATATTATTACTACTAGTTATTATTACTATTAGTCCAACCTATAGCAATTTCAAATAAAAAAATAATGGTATTTAATATGATTACAAAAAACCTAATTTTAAAAGTTTTAACATCCTGTAACTCTAAAACTATGCATTTCCATACCCATGTTTACAGGAACTTTTTTTCATATTTTTTAATGAGGAATCAATGAGTGCTCAAACTCTCGCAAGTTAATGATATTAATTTTCTTGAAGGATGCTATTAGACTTGGATCCAGGCAAATTAATAAAATTACGTTAATCTCATCAATTAGGCCAAAATCGACAAAATATCAAGAGACAACTTTTAATCGGCATTAATCTGTTTACACTATTCCGCTAACAAGAGAAAAAAGTCAGTGGCGTACATGCTTTTTTTAGAAAAATATTTCAGTAATAACCCATATGCACGTCCCTGGTGAATATGTCTTTTTTTAGCTTTAAAATATGTCGCATTTATAGTAACTTTTACCCTCAAAATTTCATTCGAAACGCTAAAAGCACTTGAAAAAAAATTATAATAAATCGAAAAAATATTAAGATTTTAACACCCTGTAGCTAGGAAATAAAGCAGAATCGGACCTATGTTGATATGAAAGAGTAATCTTATTTTCACGTGAGGAATCTCCCCACGAGAGATGGCACATGTTTTTTGAAACACCCTGTATAATAACTACTTCGCATTTTCCTCTCTTCGACTTACTGGATCGCCATAGCGATTCACTTCTACACATGCATACCAACTCAAGGCTTCGTTTGCCGATAGGGTATGTAAAATTATATCAGGAATGTCATAATCATTTTTACGCCAACTTGATGCCGTTTTTTTCACCATATTATAGCATACGAGAAGTAAACCTTTCGTTATAATTAAGTAATTATGTTTTTATACTTGTATTTTCCTATTAATAAACCTTGTCAAAAATAATTAGAATTTTAAGTTACAGATGTAAATTTTATATTGTTTCCTTAGTTGTTCCAGTAGCGTATGTTTATATTTATAATTATGTAATTACATTAATTTATTTATTAGAAACATATTGATTACAAAATTAATTATTCAGTTCAATTTTTTTCAAAGGTAAGAACTTTTCTATATCCTACACTGGTTTACTAGAGAGGTTTAGTTTTAATAATAAATTATATTATCTCCGAAACGAAGCATTTTAGGGTATAATTTATAGGAACATTTTACTTATTTTTATCTACAGAAAATGCTGTCGAAGTTTCCTGAATACAATTATTACCACCCTGTATAAAACCGTGGTAACGTTCAGTTAAAAATCAAGACCAGACAGATTTTACTCAAGCCAAATTGAACTACACAAACTTTTCTGTTTAAACGATTTCTGTTTACACTTTACGATTTATTGGTACAGTTTGGCTTGCACCAGCCAATTTGCGCAAATCATCTGACCGTCTAAAACGCCCATTTACAAATACAACTTAGCGAAAAAATCTGATTGATATTTTTTTGTTTTCAGTTATAAAATATTGACCCTTTAACCCAGTTTCAATATCTCTTACGAAAACATTTGCCGTTTCATTTCATCCAGCCTGGTTCGTCCTCATCTTTCAACGGTGTATATGTGAATTTGCATGCAGCGTGTCAGGCTAGCGTCGCCGTCGTGACGGCAGCGTCGTCGGCGTCGTCAGCTTCCGACGTCGCGCGTCGTCGTCGTCGACGACTGTAGCCTTCATCAAGGTCAAACGAACAAACCTGACCTCGGCCTGGGCACCGCCAGAGCCGCCGCGTGGCTCTTCGATTACAGCGGCAGCTTTGAAGAGCTTTTGCCGAGAGCCTTTCAGCCGAGGAAATGTCAAGTGATTTTTGATGGAGTATATAAAGTACCCTATACGTAGTAGGAGCCAAAAAGGTGAGAGTAAGACCTTTTGTAGTAAAATTTACATTGAGCTTTATACGTGCTGGAAAAATTAGCGTAAAAACTCGTGGCGACATGACAGGGTCAAATTTTCATCTTTAAAGTTGAGTTCAAATACACTGTGTCAATTTTAACTTCTCATCCTTAATATCTTTCTTGTAGTTAAAAGTCAATTTTATTTATATGGGGGACACTTGACAAATGAATATTTTTAGTCTTTTTCTTTCATCCACATAAGAGGGGTAGATGTCATCCTTACAATCTTAAATAGAAATGGGGGTCAAGTGGCACATCGTTTTAAAGGGCGTTTAATTCTCTTTTCAGTGTTGCTTTTTGTCCAGAGGTTTCCCAATTATCGCGTTTCAAAGTTACAGAATCAATTAAATTGCCTGCATTGAGATTTTGGTTTTTAGGTTAGTGTTTACATAAAATTTTTTGCAATGGATCTCCTTGTAGTACAAATGATTAGAAGATTGGGTTAGACCACTTACGTCCAATCTTATAAGCTGTTTAAATGTCGTCCATTTTCTTGTAAACAATAATAAAGTCTGTTCTGAAACTCCTTCCTAACATTTCGGAAAACTTTACCAGGAATTGACCGACATTCTGCTGTAATTCGCTTTTTAAGATCATCAATATCAGTCGGTTGTGTTTTATAAACAATGGATTTAAGATGTCCCCAAAGAAAAAAGTCTAAGGGTGTTAAATCCGGTGATATTGGAGGCCATTCAACTGGTCCCCTTCTGCCAATCTATGTACCCGGAAATCTCTCGTTTAACCACTGTCGGATGTTCTAATCATTTGTACTACAAGGAGATAATTGCAATAATTTTTGTGTAAAAACAAGTTTTAAATCCAAAATCTCAATGCAGGCATGGTTAATTGTTTCTGCAACTTTGAAACGCGATTATTCGGAAATTTCTGGACAAAAAGCAACAAGGTAGGAAAGTACTACTGAAAAGAGAATTAAACGCTCTTTAAAACGATGTGCCACTTGACCCCCATTCCCATTTAAGATTGTAAGTGTGACATCTACCTCTCATGGAGGTGCAGAGAAAGAGTAAAAATGTTAATTTAAAGTGTCCCCATTACAAATAAAATTGACGTGTCCTTCCGATTTTTTATATTTTTAACTGCAAGAAAGATATTAAGGCTGGGAAGTTTTAAAATTGACACAGTGTATATCTAAAGGAAAGAACTTAAACTAATATCGATCTCATATCCTAAGTATTTATATATCGGGTGATTCTCAAAAGTGGCTCAACTTTACAACTTTTTTAATTTTTCAGATAAAAAACGAGATTTGTTATATATTATATATTCTATATACAATATATATATATATACTATATTCATGTATATCAAGATTAATTGACGTATTCAATTGTTTTCGGTTGCATCCTGTTTTACCGGAAATGACTACAAATTTAGATTTTTAAATAGCATCCCCGATTTTTTTTAACTTTTATTCGATAGAAAATAACAATCTGAATAGAATGACATATCATATTTTTGACATTTTTGTATATGGTTTATTTGAAATTGTAATATTGCAGTTCATAACGACAATTTGACTCAAAATACCAAGAATATGGTACCAAATTAAACGCAATTCTCACTATAACGTACCGCCACCGCTCGACGGCGACGTGACGGTGGCACGGTTGTCAATGAGTATTTTTTTGAAAACATTTAAAGATACGTTTCTAAAAGTTTTTTAACCAAGAAAATGTCAAGAGATATCTGATGAACTATCCTAAATACAGTATAAATAAAAGAACTCAAAAAGATGAATGTAAGACGTTTAGTCGTAAAATTTACAATGAGCGTTGTACAGGGTGAGTCTTAAATAAGTGCAAATATTTTCAGTACTGGTAGATCTCGATAAAAGAAGCATATTTTCTCTTTGCCGTTTTTCAAATACATCCCAAAATATTAAAATATCAAAAAAAATTAATTGCTAACATTTTGAGAACCACTTGATCTTTTCTGGATTTTCTTTCCTGTAAATGTAATCTACTACCTATGCCAATTAGATGCATATGAAAGAATCAGAATTAATAAATGTAAAGATAGTATGAACAGAGACAAC